AATCTCCAGCTTTGCATCTTTTCTTCCTGCTGTGGAGCCTCTCTGGCCAGCACTGAGGGCGTCTGCAAGGCCAGATTACAAGGAGCTGGGGCCTCCATAAAATTCATTAAAGTGAGGGGATCACAAAAGGGGATGGAGCTGGGCGTGGCGGAAGATGCCTGGAATCCTAGCACTTGGGAGGCTGAGGCAGGAGGATTCTAGTGAGTTCGGGGTGAGCTTGGCTCACATAGCGAGTTCAAGCCCAACCTGAATTACTCTGTCTCAAAAAAGAAAAAGAAAAGGAAAATAAAGGAATAAAGGGCAGATGAGCAGCTGCCAGTTCCCAGAAGGCCTTGCATTCCTCCTGAGTGTGACTTGGCTAGATAGCCGCCAGCCTGCACGCAGTGGCAGAGGCAGAATGGGAACCCCTCCCCCAGGGCCACAGAATTGCAAAGGGGAAGTCTGGTCCCCTAATCCTGGATCTACAGACCAGACCTGAACAGAGGAAGTCAACCGTGCCCAGAGCAGACCAGTTCTGTCCAGAGCCTGTCCAGAGGCACAGACCCACACTGTCAAGCTGGACTGCACCACAAAGGCTGTGCCCGCAGTGGACATGAGTGACAGTCACCGTTTTAGCGACAGGCCCCTCAGAGCCCTGGACCCCTCCGGAGGCTGCGGCCTCTCTTTTGGGAACAGAGGAACCCTGGGGAAGCTGGCCCCTGACCTAGGTGCCGCACCTGCCCTAGGCCCTGGCAGAGATGGATGAGTTCAAGAACCTGGACAACGACATCGAGGGTTCCGCCAAGCGGTGGAAGAAGCTGGTGGAGTCGGAGGCCCCAGAGAAGGAAGTCTTCCCCAAAGAGTGGAAGACCAAGACGGCCCTGCAGAAGCTCTGCATGGTGAGGTGCATGCGGCCAGACCGCATGACCTATGCGGTCAAGTGAGTGTCCTGGGCACAAGCAATAGCACGGTGGTATGGGGGGACAAGGCATGAGCCATGGCCAGGCGTGCTGAAGGTTTCTGTCCACCTCCTGGGCTGCTTCTAGCCCCATTCTACAGAGAAAGGCACCGAGGCCCAGCTGCCTGGGTGGATCTTCAGTAGGAACAACGCATGACCCTGAGTTCTCATTAGCCCTGCATGTGTCAGAGTATGGTCAGTGGGATCCCTGTCCCGGTGACCCAAAAGGAGGCGCAGCCTGTGACACATGACAGGAAAACAGGCTACCGCTTCCTCGTGAGCCTTCGGCACTGAAAGCGAAGTCCGTGTCCTTGTGGCCACACTAGTGAAGAAATAGCGACTCCACCAGCACTTGAGGACTTCCAACCCTGCCGTGCCTGCCCTTACCATCTGTCTTTACGGAGGGCTCTTGCGGCTGGTTTGCAAGTGAATTGCTCCAGTTCCCAAAGCGACGTCTCCGGACCTGACCCCTTCCATGCTGCAAGGAGGAGGGAGAAGGGGGGTTCACACGGGCCGAGCCCAGGGCCCACGCTCAGGGCCCGGGTGGGGGTGGCTTCTATCCTTTTCAACTTTCCCAGCAGCATGAATGCAGCCAGAGTTCCCAAAAGACACTCATGTCCCTCCCAGAATTCCCCTCTGACAAAGCAAAGCCCTGACTCACTCCCACTGGTTATTCACCGACTTTTTGTTTTGCTGTGTTTTGCTCAGACAGAAGGGGAAAAAAGCCAAGAGCGATGGGGAAGAGTGGGGTGAAAAGAAACAAGAGATCACCATTGTGTGGGGGAGCTGGGCTGGTCCAGGGAGGCGGCAGGGCGGGTCCAGGACTTGTTGTTGGAGGAAGGTCCGCCCACCCGGGCAAGCATGGTGTGACCTGGGTGCCAGTGGGGCTTGGACATGTACTCATTGTCCCACAGGGAATGGCTGCCTGGTAATTAACAAAAGGTGATTCAGTCCCATCCCTGTCCAGGTGCAGGGCTCAGCATCCTCCGGAAGGCCCTTTCTGGCCCAGGGTCATCACATCCACCTTCTGAGTCTATCCCAAAGGCCCTGACTAAGGGGCTTCAGGAAGAGCAACTCCCCTCTCTCCACCCACCTGTAGTCAGTATCAGCTCAGGAACTATAGGAGCTAGCGGAGACCAGAGCAGGGAAGTGAGTCACAGACACAGGTGCCCAGAGGGCCCCAGCAAAGGGAAAGCAGTGCCCCCAGGCCTTCCTCGAGGCAGAGGAAAGGGGCTGGAGCAGCCGGGCAAATGTCAGGGAACGCATCTGTTGGAAGTCTTCTCGGGTCCCCAGAGCATTCAGACTGCATCCGAGGAGCACATTCTCAGCCTGGCATACACTCAGTGGTCAGTCGAGGCCGGGACTGGACATTTGAATACAGTCCTCCCCGTTAGCTGTGATCAAGGGAGACAGCAGATACCTGAAGTCCAAAGACCACCCAGAACAACACTCCACTCTCTAAGGGGATGATCCGAGGCCCCAAGAGGCCCCAGACATCGGTGGAGAGAGCGGTGGGCCTTGGCTGGGGGGCTTCTGTATTTTCCCACCTCTTCTCTGTCGCGCCCCTGACCACCCATGTTGCATGGCTAACGGGGCAGTGCTGCTCTAACTTGAACCTCCTTCCTGCCCACCCTGCCGCAGCTGGCCCTGGTACTACCCGCTTGCATGGCCCAGAAGAAGGGCACTCTGGCCTCCGTGAAACAGTGTGCCTGTCACAAGTAAAGCCAAGGTGGAGAAAACACACACTCACACAGGCCTCTTGCTGCAGGAAGAAACTGCAAAGCTTGGCTGGAGGCGTCTCTCTGCTTGGAAAGTCCACCGAGAAATGACCCCTCTGCTTGGCCCATTTTTTTCCCTGCCCCTACGAATTAGCTTATTATGGACCCAATGGGATCTGGGGTTGACCCCAAGCCCTGGACTCCTGGATCAGAGCCAGGGGTTCCACAGCTTTGGGGCTGACAGAGCACATCTCCTGCAGGAACTTTGTGGAGGAGAAGATGGGCAGCAAGTTTGTGGAAGGCCGCAGCGTGGAGTTTTCCAAGTCCTACGAGGAGAGCAGCCCGTCCACCCCCATCTTCTTCATCCTTTCCCCGGGCGTTGACCCTCTGAAAGATGTGGAGGCCCTGGGTGAGTGCAGGGGGCCGGTGACACCCTCCCAATGGGGCGTGTGTCAGCGCCACCAGGATATATAAATCAAAACCACAGCTACGTGCCCCTCGGGGTAGCCGCATCAGACACAGTGGTAACAAGCACGGCAAGGGTGTGGAGGGCTGAACTCCTCGTACGGGGCTCATACAAGTGGGACATGGAGCAGCTACCTCAGAAACAGTTAGGCAGCTGCTCAGGAGTCGCACACAGAATTACCACGTGGCCCCGCAACTCCACTTCTGTGAACACAGTCAGATGAACTAAAAGCAGGCATTCAGGGGCTAGAGGTTTAACTCAGCAGTAAAACCCTTGCTTAGTGTGCAGAAGGCCCTGGGTTTGATCCCCAGTACCCACCCAGCCCAGAAAAGAAGACAGATATTTAAACAGATGCTTTACATAAATACTCATTCACCATAACTGAAAGGTTATACTCACAGAAATACCCGATGCACGGATGCACAGGTAAGCAGATGAATGGAATATTACTCTGGCATTAAAAGGGTCAATGTTCTGACGCATGCTCCAACATGGGTGCGCCCTGAACACACTATGCTCTGTTAAAAGAGACAGACACAAAGGCCTCGGATTGCGTGGTCTTGTTAATACGAAATGTTCACGGGGCAGAGAGCAGGTTGGCTGACAGCACGGGCTGGGGAGGGGGCTGGAGAAGAATTGCTTAGTAGGTGTGAGGGCTCCTGGGGTGGGGAACACATTCCAGAGGCCAAGAGGCAGTTGCACAACAGGGTAAGTGTCCGTGACACCCCTGAGCTGCACACTTGGAGACGGCTAGCAATGGTGACTTTTATGGGATGTGTATTTCCCTTCAGTAAACAAGATGGGGGTGTGTGTGGAGTTCCCGGCTGCGGGCTGCACGTGCAGAGCCTCTGTCCCTGAATCATCCCTGTGCTTTTCCTGTTTTGCTTTTCTTTAGGAAAAAAACTAGGATTTACCATAGACAATGGGAAACTCCACAATGTGTCCCTGGGGCAGGGGCAAGAGGTGGTGGCTGAGAACGCCCTGGATGTGGCAGCCGAGAGCGGACACTGGGTCATTCTGCAGGTGAGGGCTCCCTGCACCAAGGCAACCAGGACTGGAAACCCGGCCCTCAGGGAGGGAACAGACCCGGCAGTCACGTGGCCCAGTTAGGTGGGGGGCGGGTTCCAAAGCCATCCAAGTAGTGCAGATACTCCCATGGTGACAGAGATGCTGGTCACACCAGAGACCAGGGCATCTTAAAGCTAACATGAACCACACACCTGTCAACCCAGCACTCTGGGAGGCTGAGGCAAGGGGACCCCAAGTTCCAGCCTATTCAGGGCAACTTCAAGACCATTTCAAAATAAAAAGTAAAATGGGATGGGGTCATTTCTCTGAGTGAAGCCCTGGAATCCACTGCCAGAAATGAAACAGACAGACAGACACCCCAGCCCACAAAACCATCCCTGGCACTGCTTGAGGGAGGTCGCAAGCGTCACAGCCCCGCCGCAATCTGCCACTTTCTGGTCAGTGCCAGGTGTGACCACTCCTCCTGGCCTGATGCCCTTCTGGACGCACCTGGATGAGGGCTGGGGACCAGGTGATTCCAGTCTTGTGTTGGGAGGCTACAGGTCTTGAAATACCTGAGCATGAGGGTTGTCGGTGATATCTCAGTGCCCACACCCGGCCTGGGTGGGCAGCAGTGAGGACCAGGTGCCATAGGGAAGAGCCAGGCTATGCCGAGAGGTGGGGCACAGCGACTGGTCCGGAGGGGCCCGGGTACAGCAGCTAACCCCGGCCCCGGCTGCAGAACATCCACCTGGTGGCCCGGTGGCTGAGCACCCTGGACAAGAAGGTGGAGCGCTACAGCATGGGCAGCCACGAGAACTACCGCGTGTTCATCAGCGCTGAGCCCGCGCCCAGCCCCGAGTCCCACATCATCCCGCAGGGCATCCTGGAGAATGCCATCAAGATCACCAACGAGCCGCCCACAGGCATGCACGCCAACCTGCACAAGGCCCTGGACCTCTTCACCCAGGTAGGGCGCCTGGCCACACCCAGCACCCTCACACACAGCACTGCAGCTTCTGGAAGGCCGGGTGACTCCCCTATGCCGCTGTGGGGCGGAAGCAGTTTCTCAGCCCTGCGGGTGCAGGTGCAGTGAATTCTGGGAGCAGCGACCTCATCGTTGCAGGGCTGCGGGGAACCAGGCCACGCTCCTGTGGTGGCTCCCTGAGGGTCGGCCAGCTTTCCTGTGGCATAGCTGCTGCCACCTTCATGAGGGTGGTGATGGGGCCATAGCACCCGTGCTGGAGGTGATGCCGTCCCCACCCACCAGGGATGGGTGTCCTCACCTGGATGCCCTCCTTCATCCGCTGCCCTCGGTAGTAAGGAAGCCACAGTGAGTCTGTCCTGCTCCACCAGCAACTCGGGGACCACTTGCTGCCTGTGGGGTGGAAGGTGAAGGCCTGGGCAAGCCTGGCATCGCAGGCTCCAGGAGTATGACACCTGCCCGCAGGGTCTCCTACACCTCTGCTTCCACCTGCAGTCTGCTCACCTCTGTTTCCTCCCACCAGCAGCTCACAGTCCTGGAGGCTACACCAACCCCCGCCATGGTCTTCCCACCCATGCTTCCCACAGGATGGCTGCTTCTGCAGCCCAAAGCATCATTCTGTGGGGTGTCCTCACTGTTTGCTGGTGTTCAAAATGCATGGTGAGGGCCCAGGATATAGCTCAGCAACACACACACACACACACACACACACACACTATACATATATATATAAAACACTTACACACACATGTGATGAGTATTTACTTTAATGCGTTAAGCCAGGCATGGTGGCTCATGCCTGTAATCCCAGGACTCAGGAGGCTGAGGCAGGGAAGATCATTGTGAGTTCAAGACCAGCCTGGGCTACAAAGTGAGCTTGAGGCCAGCCTGAACTGCATAGTGAAACCCTGCCTCAAAAAAAATGAGAGAGAGAGAAACAGACAGACAGACAGATTTGGGACATCAAGATAACCACAATGCAACTAAAGACACCCACAGAAGAGGACTTCAGACCTGCTTCAGAAGGTGGTGAGTTACGGAATGTGTGTGTCCCAGTGAGGAAAACGTCTTTGAGGGGATTAATGCTGACTGTCTTTTCGAAGAATAACCTTTCAAGATCCACTGTACTGTACCATCACACCTCATACAACCTTTCATGTGCATCCCCCCCACCCCACCGTCTCCCTTCTGAGCCCAGCTCTTCTAACAAAGATCTACCCACAGAGGTCACTGTCCCCGGGAGGGATAACTTCTGTATCTGACCTAACATTAACAGATACTTACGTGACAATTCCAAGCCACCCACTGGTAACTCCTTACCACTTATGCCACCCCATTGTCAAACTGAAGGCCAAAAAAGAAGTTTGAAGTGGGTCACTTGTGCCTTAATCCTCCAATGCTCATCATGTTGCAGGGACAGAGGACAAGTGACAATCAGACCACAGGCCAGACTGCTGGCCAAGAGTGGTGAGGGGCATGAGGAGGGAAGCCCGGTGCTGGGAGCAGTGTGGCTCCCAGGGTTGGTGCCGGTCTGTAAAGGGATCACTGCAGCCATCGAGAAGACACCTTAGTGGCCTTTGTGGCACTGTGGCACTGCAGTGAATCCGAGCCTGCGGTGTCTCACAGGTGGCAGATGGGATGGGGCAGACTAGACTGCAGTTCATCTTCACCTGACACCAACGTGGATGCTTCTAAGCCCCGGGACCACAGTGCATCACCAAACAAACAAGAGGCCCCCAGAGGCACAATGCCTGCCTGGCAGGCACAAGATCATGAACTCATTTCCCGGCACCAGAAAAAATAATAGCAATGCACTCTAAAATACTGATGAGCTAGATGTGGTGGTGCACATCTATAATCCAGCACTCTGAGACGCTGATGCAGGAGGACCACAAGTTCAAGCCCAGCCTGGGCAGCTTAGTGAGTTGCGAGTGTGAGGGTCTGGGTTCAATCCCCAGCACTGCATAAGTAAATAAGTAAATAACGGTCACAGCATAGCACAAGCTGGGAGTACAGCTCCTCTGCAGCACTGCAAACACACACACAGCAGTAACCCCAGAACAAGCCCAACCACGTAACCCCTTAACAAGTATTACATTACGTGCACGTGACAGAAGGTGTTTGGATACCAGCATTGGCGCACTCCCGGTCACTCCCAAGCGAGCGCACAGCATCACCTAGAGTCCCCAGGGGAAGCGGTCTTCGGTTTCCTCCTCATCCATCTCATCGTAGTTTAGCACTGGCTGAAACTTTGTTATGCAACACATGCCCTATTCCATCAGTGTCCCTTTAAGCTCCCTCTGAGGACTTAAACGCGTCTGTCATCCCAGCACTCGGGAGGCTGAGACAGGAGGGTTGCTGTGAGTTCAAGGCCAGCCTAGACTACGCACGCAGAGAGACCCTGACTCAGAAAACTTAAAAAAAACTCCCAACTTGCGCTTGCCCCCTCAGGACACCCTGGAGATGTGCTCCAAAGAGATCGAGTTCAAGTGCATCCTCTTCGCCCTGTGCTACTTTCATGCGGTGGTGGCCGAGCGCCGCAAGTTTGGCGCCCAAGGCTGGAATCGGTCGTATCCCTTCAACAACGGGGACCTCACCATCTCCATCAACGTGCTCTACAACTACCTGGAGGCCAACGCCAAGGTGAGGCTGCTGGCAGGGTCCTGGCCTCCTGGCCACCCCCACCGTCCACCCTCCCCCATAGTTCTTTGTCTTACGTCTCAAAGACCTGAGGCAGGCTCCACAAACTGGAGTAACCCTGAACACACAGGAGCTCCCCATCCCCCAGAACAGTTAGCGTCCAGTCCTGTGGTTGTCTACTGCCCAGGACAGTTCTGCTCCTCCTGCACTGGAACCCATCTCCCCAACCCCAGTGGCCCTGGCCAGTGAGCAGAGCCAGGACGGGGAGGTGGGTATATTTCCTGGGCTCAGGGCCCCTTGTTCCCTAAGGCTCTAGTCAGTGTCTGGAGACAACCCTGGCTGGGGAGTGGGCCCCAATAAATCTCAAAGATGGGGCACTTCTTGGGATCATGGAAAGTGGGGTAAAAAACGCACCCAGGCACATGCAGATGCTATGGAAGGCTGAGAGAACACAGAGCAGGACCCCTCTGGGGACTTGGTCTCTAGGGAGCAGGGTGCAGCAGGTGTCCTGCACACCTGGGTGGGGCCGGCTGGGCACAGAGTGGTGGACATATGCACGGCCTAGAGTTCCTGAGCACAAGTTTGGGACCAGGCAGTGGGGGTCTGAACCTCACCCCTGTTCTGACTAGATGCAGGGAGCTGTCTAAACAGCTTGCACCTCCTCAGGCCCGGTAGCCTGAGCCATGCTGCCCCTAAGACCTGGCCACCCCACTCATGAACTGGTGAGCAGCAGCCCCTTTGTACGGCCATCAGCATGTGATGCAGGGTGGCTGGCGCAGTCCAGCACCTGTCGTCCATCAGAGGCCCAAGGTCTGTGCACCTCCCACGGAGCTCGGGCTTTTGCTCTCACCCTGGGCCCCCAATTAATGGCAGCAAGAACCACAGCTCCCAAGAGAGCAAGGGACCAAGTGCCCTCCTCCAGGCCAGGAAGAGGGATGGCACCAAGCAGCCCAGCCACACAGGAGGGGCCGGGGAGGACGGCTCGCCCAGACCTCCAGCAAGTCACTCGGGCTCCCTGGGCCGCTTCCTCCCCAAGCAAAAGGGATGACAGCATCACCGTAAGCCCAGGACAAAGCTCAAGTTGCTGTCAAGGAGGGGAGCAGGGGAAATACTGAGTCCGAGCAAGCGAAGGTGGACGTGAGCCTGCACAGTGGCTCCCTGCGGGCCACCAGGAGACATGTTGGGAGGCGCTGGCCTGAGGTACTGAGGCAGCCTGCCTAGGACGGAGCTTCCTGGACCTGGAAGATGGCTGTCAGGGGCCAGAGGTTCCCTGCGGATGCACTCAGGAAGGCAGAACAGGGCCAGGAACCAGCAACCACCACACCTTAGGGGAAGGCTCCAGTTGGTCCCCCTGGCGTGTCACTCCCGTCCTTAACCCCACAAAGTGAACACACAGGGGAGATACCAGGGAGGATTTCCATCCCCTCAGTTAGGAACTCTCCTCTGGGGAGAGAGCTAGGGAAGAACAATCTTCAAGGATTTTTAAAAGCTGCCAAGAACACCTGTGAGAGTGCAGAGGGTGCTGTGGCCATGCCGACTGCCCTGCAGGGCCCAAACTGGTAGCCCAGGGAGTCCTGCCATGCCCTCACCACATCCTGCCTTTCCCTGCGGAGCACAGGTCACACCTGATGCCATTAAGCACCTGTCTTGACATCATTTGTGTGGAGCAGCTCCTCACCCCCCTGACTGAGAAAGGTCAACACTTCCCACCTCAGCCAGAGGACTGAAACCAGCTGGACTGTTGGTTATGGACATGGATGGCCCCCGACTTCCGTGGGAGAGGCCCTCTAATCTGTTCCCTCCAGCAGGCCCTCCAGGGACTCTGCCGGGCAGGTGTGAGAACCCAGCTGGCATCCCCTGGTCATCAGTCCCACTGAGCCCTCCCCGCCTGTAGGAAATGACGGTTCCCGGAGGCAGCTGTGGGGGACAGGCGGGGAGAGCGCCCTGCCTCATGGGAAATGCTCTGCTGCCTCTGAGAAAGGAAGATGCAGGAAAATCTGCTTAGCATAAACTCGTGATAACCAGGCGGAGAAAAGCACTGCAGGTCAGAAAGTGACAGTTTAGACTCAGGCATGGTAGCGCACACCCATAATCCCAGCTGCCCAGAAGACTGAGGCTTACGGGTCACAAGTTTGAGGACAAACTGGGCGACCCAAGATGCCATCTCAAAAAAAATAAAGGAAAGGAAAATGATACTTCAGGGAATATTAGTGTTTTCAGTAAAATGCATTAGACTTGTAATCCTACCATTTGGGAGGCTGAGGAAGGAGAATCGCCTTAAGTTGAAGGCCAGCCTGGGCCACATAGGAGTAAATAAGTTAAATAAATCATGAGACCAAATAAATTGATTGACTAATTGTTCTTAACTCAATATATGATCAATGGCCTTTTAGGGATGGCACTGTGGAAGTCAATAAATGTCACCTTTCCCTCAAGGATTCAAAACCCTTGGGCAAAATACATGTGGACAGAGGCAGTGGTGGCCAAGCTTGTGCGGCAGAGACCCCTGCCAGGCCACCCAACAGCAGCCGCCCACAAGCCACGCACAGAACACAGCCGCGCAGAAAGTGGCTGCTAGAAAATGTAAAATCACATTATGATGAGTTGCCATCAGGCGGCCTGGCAGGTCCGTGCTGCCCATTCCTGGCGCCTGGCTTTTGCCGACCTGTGTTTTCCTTTGGGGTACAGACCCTTGTGGGGAGCTGGGGTCAGGCTGGCTTCAGTGGAAAAGGAAGGCTTGCTAGAAATGTTTA